TATATACGTATATATTTTATACCGTTTCCCAAATCACTGCTGTTTTATCAAGACTACTGCTGGCAATGAACAATCCGTTTATGTTGAAACAAACACAAGTTAAAGCACTGCTGTGTTTTTCCATGATTCTGCAGAGATTTATATTGACAGAGGACGGTTGAGTTTCACATTTCGATTGTATTATAATTATTTCCCATAGTTTTACACAATGGTCATTACCGCAAGTAACTAGTTGATATAATTTCGTGAGCGGATCGTTACCTAAATATTAATCAAATTAAAAATATATTAGTATCATGAGATCTTTATCTAATTATTTATATTTTTCTAAAACAAAAGTGTTGTAAAAATTTTCTATATATTACTTATAATCTTTTGAGAAGTCGAAAAATCACAAGAAATAACGCCTAGATCATGAGCATCATCTACCCAGGCAAGAGCAGTGATTGTTTGATTATCGGAAAGGCACGAGTCGATGATATCGGCGGTGGAGAATAATTTCAAGACACCAAATGTACAAGTGGTAATCAACCAAGTAGAATCGGGTGAAAAACATACACTTTGTACAGCACCATCATGTTTTTGAAAACATCTAAATTACCGATAGAGATAGATTTCATTTATATATGGTCGTAATAAATAAATATCGTAACAATGTTGATTGGTAAAGAAAATACGAATTGACAAAATTGACGATTGAGTTTTTGAACATGTTCAATTCATGAAGTTATCAATTTTACTATTATTTTACTATTATATAATATATAATAATATATATATATATATTATATATAATATATATAATAATATATTATTACTATTTATCAATTTATATTATACTATATAAGATTACAATGCTGGTTCTTGCCTAACTAAATTGCGTCGAACCAAATCCCAAAGACAAACTTGTCCATTATCTCCAGCAGTTGCAAGTAACGTTGAATCGGGTGAAAATCTACAAACTCTCACAGCTTCTCCACCCACTTGAACCATGGTATGAATTTTTGATCCTGTCTGAAAATACATGATATTTATATCTAATACTATCTTGATAATATGATAATATCATAATAATAATATTAATCGTAATTTATTTTAGTTTCGGATAATAGATAGAACATAATAATAAAAACTTACTCGTAAATTCCAAAGTAATGTTGTACCATCTATACTGGCCGAAGCTAACATCGTTGATCGAGGACTCACTTTGACAGATGTAACTCCATATTTGTGTCCTTGCAATGGAGAAAAATATGCTTCTATGTATCCTGTGCCGGATCGCCATTGCCAAACTCTAACTCGTTTGTCTCTGGAAGAATATAGAAAGATTCATCGATCATTTATTTTGAAAAAAGTTTTTCTACATATTTACAAATCATGAATTTTTTATAACTTTCTTACCCAGATCCAGTTACTAATACGCAATCACCAGCAAAATCAACACTAGTTACATCATTAGTGTGAGATGTTAAAGTTTGTAGAATTTGTACATTTTCTATGATGGTGGTCATATTTGCACGTACTAATTTCGTTACTAATATTTTTCATGTACCTATTATCAGCGTTATAAGAATTATAGCAAACGCGATAATACCGTATAATAAATAAAAAATAATCAAAATAACTACATTATATTTAGCATAAAATTCTATTCATGCGGCGTAAAATATATTTTATCATTTAACTTTACATATTTTCGTCTTCAACTTTAAAAGTTACGAATAACTTTAAACTGCTGATACGTTTGTTTAGATCCCTATGTTATAAGTGGACAAATTCCAGTAAATGTCAAATATCTTAAGCAAAATATAAAGAGTACGTGGTGTAAAGAAACGTGGAAAATTCCACGTTTAATGTTAACGTTAAAGACCTTGATATTGTTCGATATATGTATTATATATAAGTTTAATAAACGTGGCTCTATTGGATAGGATATAGTCCAATTGTAATTGAATTAAACAAAAGATTATATATCTATTTCATATGAAAGATAATTAATGATGTATAATAATAATCATATATAAAGTACAAAATATGCATTTCAAATCATGTAAAAATATTTTTTCGAAGCTAATAAGTAAATAAATACGATAAGAAAATATTTATGTTGAAAACTATTCACTTATATTAACAAAGAGAAATTGCGAACATTAATGCAACTTTAATTCGAACAATTCGAAAGATAGGTTCATTGAAAATGTGGAAATGTAACATCTTGAACACTTACTTTCCAAGGAAGATTTATTTCGTTTAATTATTTGACACATATCGTTTCTTTCAAGTGATAAAACTGAACTCGGCAAAATAAAGTTGTGTGTGCATTCCATAATAAAATGTCAACGCATGTCTGCTACGGTTCTAAAATCGATATATACGGGGTAACTAAGTACAAATAGCTGTAGAATAACATGGATGATTTTGTATCGGTATTGAAATCCTTATTATTATTGTATACTATCATTACTATCATTAGTTTATTTACTATCATATTTACTAATCATATATTGTTACTTTATCTTTTGTCGATTTATTTATATTATACCTTTATATTGAAAATAAAAATAATCGTAACTTCTCTCAACTTTTTTTAATAGAAAAGTCTGCTCTATATTTATCAGATTTATCTCTTCTGAAGTTATATTTTTTTCGAAGTTAGATTTCTAGTTTTTTAAATAAATTAAAAAATATCAGTTAAAATAAGTACATTTTTAACGTTTTTTATCTTTGATCATTATTATATATGATATTTATATGTAATCTAATAACTATATCATTTTATTCAGAAGAATATTACATAATTATTTCATGTTAAGAGCAACTAAATAACAATTACTATAAAAATATAAAATATTTCGAATGTTGAAAAATTATAATTTTTTTTTGAAATGATTTTTTCAAAAACTGTGAAATTCTAGAAAAAAATGATTTATAGATTAAAATCTATAAGAAACGTTTATTAAAGATTATAAAATTATAAAATTAAAGAAAAGTTATAATTTGTTATAATATTAATTATAAAAAAAGTTATAATATTACATAATTACTTACATACTACTTTATTATGATCCCTGTATATTAATGAATTAATTATTTATTAATGCATTATTATGTCAAATATAATTTTTTAAAATATATTTTGTAAATTGTAATTTATATCATTAAAAAAAAAATATTTATTATCAAAATAAAAATAAAAATATTACATTTATGTGTATTTCTTCAATTATAAAAAATATTTGTAATAAGCAAAGAATGAAAAATACAATCATTTTATTCAATGATTACATTTAATAGAGCAGGATCTACAGTGTTTCTGCTGTCAGATTATATTGTATACTTTCTATTCAATTTCTACTAATTTATCGTTATTATGATAATTACGAATAAAATCGGAATAGTTTTTATCAAAAACTAAATTTGCTATATTTTTGTTACTATTAATTTATTATTATTGTTATTTATTATTTTTGTTGCTATTAATTTATTAATATAATTAAATACAATAGATTTTGTATCAAATCTGCAACTTTTCTGTTGCTAAATATTTGCAGTAGAATAATATTATTATCATATAAAATATATGCAATATTATTATATTATATAGAATATTTTTATATAATGTATAACAAATATATTTCAAAAATCACAATTTTAATTATAGGAATAGAAAAGATTAAAATTATGTATATTTAAAAATATTTAAATATTATTGATATTCATATTTAATAAAACAAATTAGTGATTACAGATGAAATATATTGTTTAAATAGTAATAAAAAACAGATGTCCTATAACGATTTATTGAAATTATATATAATATAGATTTTTAATTTTATTCTAGTCGTTTTGCATTTTAAATGAAATATTAATTACTAATTTTTATTTATTGAAATTAAATTTGGTTTATATTTTTTTTTCAATATTTGAAAATTATTTTAGTTTTATTGATCTAGTTTTTGAAGTTGATCTAGTTATTTGTAAACTATATAGTACTAGATTAACATTGAATTATATTTAAATATTCATATTATTCAAATTTTTAATATGAATTTCTTAAGTTAAAATTGTGATTTTTGGAATCTATTCATTAATTCTATCAATTTGAAAAAACTTTCAAATTTTTTTCGGGAAAATTTCATCTTATTAAGATTTTTAAAAATTTTTAAGCTTTAAATTAGATTTGAAGTGATTCAAATTTGGTATTTTATAGAAAAATAATTCAAAACTTTTAAAATCTCTTTTCTAGTTATAAAATTTAATTTGTTTCTTTAAAAAATGCTCAAATTTGTCATATACTATTATTACTAATAACAAAATACATTTATTTAATCTTTTTAATCCGCAATACAATGAAATTTATCATATTGATTATAAAGAAAACTGAAGATAGATCAATATAGTGAATTTTATATGTAATCTACATGCATTGTGCGTAAATAATGTACATAAATGAATTATAAAGAATTTATTATTACTAAAAAATTAAGAATCCGTATATTTATATTCACATGAAATTTATACAACATAGTTAATTATATAAATAACAAAAATAGTAAGATGAAAAAAACTTAATATTAATTAATCAATAAAAGTTTTTTAACTTACAAAAAATAATTTTATAATAAATAATTTAATAATTTAATAAATAATATAATAAATAATTTTATTATATTTTATTTTTTCTTTATATATAATTTTATTCTAAAATAAACAATTTATTTCAAATCGACCAATTATTATTATTATAAATTAGATATACGATTTGATTTTTATAAGTTATTTACATAAATTATTTTTTATCTAGATTTTGAAAGTTTCGAATTATAAAATTAGTAGAAAGGTTCAAGGATCAAAAAATCAAAATTTTTTTATCAAATGATTTCGAAATTTCAAAATTTCAAATCTCATAATGAGATTTTCATTTCTAGCAAAGAATTATTAAGAATTTCATGGCGCATGCTCATTGATAATCCCGCACGTTAGGTGATGAAATACAAATGGTTGATTTCAAGTAAAGTGACAAATACTGTTATTTTATTTTCGTATTAATAGTCATTTTATGATATTATTTTAAAAAGAAAAATATACAATTATTTAAGAGTGAGTATAATTTTTAATATAATATATAAAAATATAAATTTCTATCAAAAATATTAAATAATTCAAGGTACAATAATTTAAAGGAATTTTCCGGAAAATTTTACTATAAAATATCATTATTATATCTATAATATATTGTTATTATTGATTGATATTAATTTAGAATTATTAATTTAATGTTATTAATATTTAAATAAAAATTTATTGAATAATAAAACAAAATATTAGAGGTTATGATGTATCATAATATAAATTTTATATATAATATCTTAAAAAAATATTTTTTAATTTAAAACATAATTTAAAAATTTTTATACTTATATATTTATGTATATATTTAGCATATAATTATTTTTTTTGTTACTTATTCTTATAAGTGAGTGTAATATCTAGACAGATGCCAAGTGTTAAAGATGAATCTGAAGCAGAAGGAGAAGAAATGTCTCATGATAGCAATGAAAGTAATCAAAGTTCTGCATCATGCGATAGTAGTGCAGAACACAGTGATAGTGATGATTCTTCAGAAATGGATGAAGATGAATGTGAAAGACGACGTAATGAATGTATGGAAAACTTAGTAGATTTAGAAAGACAATTTACACTTCTTAAAGAGCAGTAAATATTTTCATATGATACAATTTTTTAAAAATATAATTATAAAAAGAATTTAATTACTACAAATTTAATATATATAACTTTTAAAAATAATTTTAGGCTTTATCGTGAAAGAATTACTCAAGTAGATACAAAATTAGGTGAAGTTCGAGTTGGAAAATCTGAAGAATATTTAATACCATTGGAACGATTAAAAGAAAATATGAAAACCAAAACAGAAGTAGCTGGGATATTAAAACAATATAGATTACAAAATATACAGAATAAATTTTTAGCAGAAGAACAAGCTGCATTGCAAAATTTTGAAAGTGAAAAAGAATTAATTTGGGATTGCATTCATAATGATTTGCAAGAAAAAATTCGTAGATTAGAAGAAGATAGAAATAATGTTGATATTCATGCAGATTTATGGTTAAATTCTAATGGTAGAAGACGCAGAAATCATACTGAAAGAAGAAGAGCTGTTTCTGTTGCGGGACCTTATATTGTTTACATGCTTAATGATGCAGATATTCTTGAAGATTGGGCATTGATAAAGAAAAGTTTAAGCAGTAGAAAAACTGAAATAATATAATGATACATCCATTGAAATATAAATCCATTTTAAAAATATAACAATCTTAATGATAATGTATTGCTCTTTTATAGATATATATAAAAGATGTATAAAAGATATTAGAGCGATCATTATCTTCATTTATTGGCACTTCTCTTATGTTTATAACACATATATAAAGTGCCTTCTATAAAAACATTTTGATCTCTATAAAATTATTTTAATTAATAAAATACTGGTGCAAATAGAGTAATGGAAAAATTTTATGACAAAGTATCTTTGTCTTTGAAAGCACAATTCATGATAAACTAACAAAATATTAATTAATTGTAAAAATAATTGTTAAATTTTTTTTACGAATATAATATTTTGTTATAAAATCAATTTAATGTAAAAATTTATTTAAATAATTTTAAGCTTATTTATAATGAATTCTGTAAAATATGTTTCTTGAAAATCATAAGTATAGATTTTAACTTTTAATATTATAATTTTTAATCTAGAATTTATTTATAAAATTATTAGTAAAAAAATCAATTTAATTTTTATCGATTTGTCATACATGTACAAACTGTAATATATTTGAATATATTTCATATTTTTGAATAAACTTAAAAAAAATAATGTTTAGTAAATATTTGTATATCTTTTATGAATATAAATTTTTGATATTTACATAATATATCACATTTTTTAAACCTATATATAAATATAATATATTTAAAACTTAAATATTTTAACAATAAAAATATTTTTAATATTATGAAGCAATTAATTTATGTTAAAACGTTTTGAAAAATAAATTAAATTTACAAGATATTTTTATTAATTAATTTGCTATATAATTAATATATTTACATAAAAATAATTGTAAAATATTCTACAACAACAATAAATATAAATATTGATATATGATGTTAAAATGATAATAAAAATGTAATTTGTTACCATAATATATATATTAAAATACATATAAAAAAAATAAATAAATAAAATGCTAAAAAAAGAAAAAAAATATTTTTAAATTTAATTATTATTATAAAATTATTTAAATTTAAACTAAAAAAAAATTAAATTGAAAATATTATATAAATATATGCATATATTTAATATGAAAATTTAATATATATTAAATTATTTTCCTTTAAGGTTTCTAAATTTAATATGAAACTATAAACAAAAATTTTTTTTTAATTAATTAAAAAAAATTCATATAATTTTATATAAATATATAAAAATCTCAAAAAAAATTTATTTTTTAGATGAATGAAAAAAATTCAATGAATAAAACAGAGTATTAAGCTCAAAGATATAAAATTAAGAAATAAAATAAAATGAATACTTACATAATTTTAATTAAAAAATATAAAATGTAGATAATATAATAGTATATATAATTATTATTATACACTAAATGATAATATACTAAAAATGCAATAAAATAAACATATTACATAATTTTAACCAAAAAATGAACATCAATTTAATATATATTAATCTAATAAATTAAAATTCTATTGAGATTATTGGTTAAATTTTAATTTTCATAGAATTATTACAATTAGCAAAAAAAAAAAAAATAGAAAAATCTTTTATAAGAATATTTATTATATAAATAATATCTCAAATTTTTAAAATAAAAATAAAAATTGTTAAAAAAATATTTATTATAAAAATATTAGAAATTTATGAAATTATAGCAAATATTATAATATTATATTAAATTATAATATTAAAATAAATTTTAATAATGACTAATTAGAAATTAAATCTTATAAGATTAATTTATGTTCATTAAAATATTTGAAAATTATAGTTATAATTTTTAAAATATTCTAGAAAATATTTAAATACACAGTTTAAAATTATAATGAAATAATAATTATAAATTTAATAAAAATTATATTAAGATATATTAAACAAATAAATATTTAAATTATTTTTTTGAATGAATAATTTAATATAATCTTTTTACTTATTTATTCTATTTCAAATAAAAATAATTAATAAATAATTAATAAAATAATTATATATTATATTTTAATAAAAAAATATGAATAATAATAATTATTCAATAAAGTTTATTATATTATTATATTTTGTATAATATATTTGTTTTTTCATTATATACTCTGTTTCAAAATAAATTAATTTATATACTTTTTATTTCAATTATTATATTAATTTTATTAAAATTTTGTTTTTATAATTTATTATTTTAAAAATATGATAAATATAAGTAAAATTGATATTATTATTTTGATATAACTAAATTAAAAAAAAAAAAATATTTATTTTTAATTTAATATTTACATGATTGTATAAAAATATTAAATACATATTTATATAAGTATATAGAGTTTAAATTTTTTAATATTTATTTCATTTATTTTAGTATTATTTTATAAATTCGCGCATTTGTATATAAATCACCATTGAGAAAAACCACGAATAATATAATACAAAGATAGTAATCATAATGAAACTTATATTCAATTAATTATGTAGTAGATATAGATCATATAATTTTTAATATTTAATAACAAAATTTATATTTGATAAGAATTTAAAATTTTTTTTTCAAATTTTATATAGATATTATTTTTTTACTAATAATCGATTGAGGAACTTTAGTTTTATCTTCGCTTTAAATACATATATAAAGGAATCAGAATCGATAGACGAACTACGTTTGTAATTTGAGGTCAATTGTAGGACAATATCATTCTACTTCGAACGTTCTAAGGGGAGTGTTACGCTAGGTAAGTATATTTTTTTTTCATTTTTGTATTATATAGATATAAGAAATTATATCTTTAAGAATTCTATTTGCTATATTAAAATTTTATATTCATATTTTTTATAGTGTTTTGTTTTTTAATTCATAAAAAATATAATATATATTTGTAATTCATACAGCGTGCACAAAAATTTAATTTTAAGATTATTATATGAGATTATTCAAATATATTATAATTAATTAATTGTAATTTTAAAAGATAGCATTGAAATATATAACATTTTTAAATGAAGAAAATATTAACGTCATTGTAAGTTCTTTAATTCTTAAATATTAAATTTCTTCCAGTAACCTTGTCAAGGTCAAAGATATTTTTTTGAAGACAAACTTATCATCGATATTCTATGCATTTTATCGATAAATATTTAAAATATTTAAATTTAAAAACAATCTAATGATAAAATTAAGGAAAAACAATTTATTTTTCAATACTATTAATTTGGAGGTTATAAAATACATTTTTCTGACAAATATTTAAAACAAAATTTAAATTTAAAGACAATTTGAAAAAAAGAAAAAGAAAAGAAAGACAATGAATTAAAAAAAAACTATTTTTTTAACATCATTAATTAAAATAATTTAGAAATTGTAATATACTATAATATACCTTATATTGAATTATTTACATTAAATGAGAGTTTTATTTATTTTGACTAACGTTATTTCTATTTCAGATTTCTAATAAATAAATATACTACTCGTAGTACTACTCGCAGTAATAGAATGTCATCATCCATTAAATCCATAAAAGCACGTCAAATTTTTGACTCTCGTGGTAATCCTACTGTAGAGGTAAAATAATAAAAAAATGTATCATTTTAATAATATATTAATAATAATATAAATTATGGATAAAAAAATTATATTTTATAATTTAAAAAAAAAATTATAAAAATTTATTATATAACTCTTATTTTTAGCATATGATTTTTAATATATTTATATATGAAAGTTTATAATATATTTAATTTTTTAATTGTGATTAAAAATAAAATGTTTTTATTATTATTCTTTAATATATTTTATATCTTTATAATATATTTTTAGGTTGATATTGTCACAGATGATGGACTCTTCAGATCTGAGGTACCATCAGGTGCTTCTACTGGTATTCATGAAGCTCTAGAACTTAGAGATAATGATAAATCTAAATATCATGGAAAGTCTGTTTTTAAAGCTATAAATAATATTAATAATATTATTGGACCAGAATTAATAAAGGTATTAAAAATTAACATTTTTTTTTTAATTTGCTAATTAACAAAATTTATCAATTATTAAAATGATTTATTATTTATTATTATTATTAAATGATAATATTTAAACAATATATTAATTGAACAATATTTATTATTTAGTCAAATTTGGATGTTACTTCACAAAGTGATATTGATAACTTGCTTTTAAAACTTGATGGTACATCAAACAAATCAAAACTTGGAGCAAATGCAATTCTGGGTGTTTCCTTGGCAGTTTGTAAAGCAGGAGCAGCAAAAAAAAAAACATCATTATATAGGTAAGTTATTTTTTAAATTTCATATTATAATTTGTAACAATATATTTTAAAAAAGTTATATATGTAATATTATTTCATAATAAATTAATAATGTTATTATATTACTATCTATGAATTTTAAATATATTATTAAATATAATAGTATAATACAATAATTTAAAATAATTAAAATTATTAAAATTATTTTTCTTATAAAATGAAACGTATGTACAAAATTTTTCTTTTATAAATATTATTTTTGATGTTTGAAAAAGAAAAAATATAATAAATAATTTTATGAAATCTTATAATTACAGATATATTGCAGATTTGGCAGGAAATACGAATATTATTTTACCAGTTCCAGCTTTTAATGTTATCAATGGTGGTTCGCATGCTGGAAATAAATTAGCAATGCAAGAATTCATGATTCTACCTACAGGTGCTTCTAGTTTCTCAGATGCCATGAAAATGGGTACTGAAATTTATCATCATTTGAAAAATGGTATTAAATCGAAGTTTGGTCTTGATGCTACTTCTGTTGGTGATGAAGGTGGTTTTGCTCCAAATATTTTGGACAACAAAGAAGCTCTAAATTTGATCATAGATTCTATCAAAGTAAGTTTATTTAAAAAATAAGTTTATTTAAAAAACTTTATTATTTAAAAAATATATATATATTTCAATGAATTATTATATAATAATTTCAATAAATTTATATATATATATTATATCCTGTTAATTATAATTATTATAATTTGTTATAAAAGTTATAATTTGACATTATTTTTAATTTGATATTTTTATTATTTAACATTAAATTAATTTTTAATTATTATAAAATTTAGACTGCTGGATATGATGGAAAAGTCAAAATTGGTATGGATGTTGCTGCATCAGAATTTTATAAAAATGGAAAATATGATTTAAATTTTAAGAATGAAAAATCTGATCCAAGCACATATTTGGATTCAAATTCTTTAAAGAATTTATACCTACAATTTATTAAAGAATTCCCAATTGTATCAATTGAAGATCCATTTGATCAAGATGATTGGAATTCATGGACAACATTAACATCTTCTACTGATATTCAAATTGTGGGTGATGACGTTACTGTCACAAATCCTAATAGGTAAAATTAAAATTTTGTATATAATTTGAAATTTAATAATAATAAAAAAATTATATAACCAATTATAATATTTATTTAATTCTTATATTTATAAATGATAACAAATATGTAAATAATAAAAAAATATATATATATATATATATCTTATCAAATTTATTATACATTACAGGATCAAAATGGCTATTGACAAAAAAGCTTGTAATTGTTTGTTATTGAAAGTTAACCAAATAGGTACTGTCACAGAATCAATCAATGCTCATAAACTTGCTAAGAGTGCTGGATGGGGCACAATGGTTTCTCATCGTTCCGGAGAAACAGAAGATACGTTTATTGCTGATTTAGTTGTTGGTTTATCGACTGGCCAAATTAAAACAGGTGCGCCTTGCCGTTCAGAACGTTTGGCAAAATACAATCAAATTCTTCGTATTGAAGAAGAATTAGGTTCATCTGCCAGATATGCAGGAAATAAATTCCGTAATCCTCACGCTTAAGATATATTATATCTTTTTATTAATAAAGTTTTAGTTATTATATTTACTGCAAAATAAGTTGAATATATACTTTTATAATTATTAACATTGTATTGATGAAATAATTTTGAAAACCATTATTGTTATTATATTTAAAAGAGAAAAAGTTTTCCAATTATAGAGATAGAGAAATGAAGAAATCAAAGAATTTCTGTTAAAACAAATATTATGAAAAATAAAAATATGCAGATATTTATTTTAATGTATCATTTATTAATTAATTATTATTTTAATAATTACTTAAATTTAATACTAACTAAATGATATAATATCAATTTATTAAATTATATAAAATTACTTGTTGAGTAGTTTATTAAATCAGATTAAATAATATTAAAAGTACAAAAAAATAAAAAAATTTGGTATATAACAATTTAGAAGCACAAATTATAAATTAATAATCTTTATGATTATAATTATATATAATATATATGAATGATAATATATGATAGTATAAAATTTAATTCTAGTTTATCATTAATTATAACATTTATTTAAATAAAGTCATTAAAAATTATTATTGTAAATCTTATTATCAAAATGTCTAAGTAAATAAAATAAATAAATAAATGATAATAGAAAAGAAAAAATAGAACATATTAATAAAAATATTTAAGCATTTTAATTCCTTACTATTTAATAAATTTATATATTTTTTTTATTTATTATATAAAAAAAATTTATTAAACATTAATATATTTTATTTTAAATCTTTGATCTATATATATTATTTTTGTTAATCTTTAATTTTTTTTAATTTATAGTTTTAACATTTGTTTTTATAAATCATATAAATTTATTTTTAATTAATTATATAATTTGATAATAAATTTCTAGAATTTCTAGAATATTGTAAATTAGTACGTATAAAAAAATTAAAATATTATATTAAATTATATTAAATATTAATTTTATACGTATATATTATTGTTTTATATGAATTAGATATTTATATATAATAAAAGTCATTAACATGTTACAGATTATGGTATGTTTAGAATATATATATATATATATTATAATTTTATAAACTATATACATAAATTCAATAATTTTTAAATGACAAGTGTATTTAAAAAAAAATAATTTAATAAATCATAATTATGCAATTTATTATTATTCAATATTATTTAATATTATTCAATAATATTATTCAATTATCATCTCAATTAGAATCCAATTAGAATGCAATTAGAACTTAACTAATCGTTGCAAATCTCAATTAGTGATTATAAAAATTAAGCTAGATAGCTATTATAGAAAAGAGCTAAAAATCAATCATCATTAAATTCACTGAATATTCACAATTATAGTTATATACTTCCACAATATTGTGAGTGGATCCTTCAAGGAATAGCATTTAATTCAAGTACTTTGTGAATTGCCTTAATAATTTCAGCCAATAATTAAAATTGATTTAAATTTTTATATAATAAAATTTAAACATATTTACATTATATTACTTAAATTATACCATATAAATAAACATTATAAAATTACATCAACATTTTATCACAATTATATGTATATAATATATGTATTTAAACATTTTAAAATATTAACCTTTATTTACGATGTCATATTTTCTATTTTTCCTTGAACGGGTGATCCAAAATAAGTTATCTTGCTGCAATCAGAAATAAATGTTAATTTTAATCACACAGTTATAAAAACAAATATATATCATAAAATAAAAATGATTGCAAAGTTTCTTTTTAATTATTATTTATAAAAAGAGAAGGAAATTAATTTGTAAATACAAAAAAAAAAGATAAAAAAAATTTTTAATTTTTGAATTATAATAATGTTTGTATTATTATTGCATTAATGTTTGTATTATTATTGTATTAATATAATAATTATAATGTTGTTCGACTTATGATTTTAAATTATTTCTATTTTAAAATATTTTTTTTCTTATAAAATATAATTCTTGATTTTAACCTTACAAATAAAAGAAAAAATTTTATATTTTATACATTTGTAAATATATTCGTGACATATCTTTGAAAGATCGATTCTATCAAAGATATTAGTATATCAATATACAAAAATATTAATTTATATATAAAAAATAAAGTTTATTTATTAAGTTACAAATTTATAAAAAATTTAAATTATGTTAAATCAAGCGAAATAGAAACAGAATAATTCATATTATAAAGATAAAAATATCTTACTTTATTTTTGCTTTGCTTTATTTAACATAAATTTAATTATTTGTAACTAAGTCTCAATTGATATTTTTATATATTAATTTTCATGTTTTTTTTTTAAAATCGATTTTTCAAAACTGTTTCATATATTAATATTTTGTATACAATAGCATATAGTCTTGTCGATAACTGTCGTAGAATCAAGATTGAAACGCGTCAATTACCCAGAGAAATAAGTATATTGAAAATTATTGACAACTTTCATTCGATTTCATTCGTTTCATTAAGTCATGACGAAGTAGAAAAATATAAAAGAAAAATGTATTTTGTATTTTGTTTTCAATATATATTTTAAACTACATTTGTATCGATATTTATCAATCGTTATTACAAAAATAAAAAATTTTTTGTAATAACTATAAATTTTTTGTAATAATTATAAATTGCAATATTACCGATTGATGTTAGTAAATATAAACAAAATCAGTACTGACAATACATGATCGATAACAATCAGATTTGATTTTCCATTATAATCGAATATGATTAATGCTGATATCAATGAGACGCAAAATATTGGCAAAAATCGACCAATTAAATTGTTCAACAGTACTTAATTGATTGGCAAATATCAAAATTTTAAGTTTTTATATATGCTCCAAAAACCAGAGTTCTAATTTTAAATTGATGAAAATAATTCCATAATAATTAACTCATTTTTAATTTTATCTTATATTTTTTTTTTAATTTTATCTTATTATCTTATTAATTTATTTAATTTAATATATTATATTAATTTAATATATTTAATTATTTTATTTTAAATTAATAATATATAAATACACGATACATACTTGAAAATAATCTTCAATTTCTTGAAGTGTACGATTTTTCGTTTCTGGCAAAACAATATAAATAAATAATCCTTCTACAAGAGAAGAAATTCCAAAAATTATAAAAACTCCAATAACGCCCACTGCCTCATTCACCTATTTTAACAATAAAAAAATCAGATTAATAATATATTTTATTATTACATATTATAATATATTATATAATATAATATAATATGTTATTATATATGATAATATAATAATATACAATATATATACAATATTATATAATATATTAAATTATTTGGAATGTTCGAAATATTTTTTTATAGTTGATATATTTCAATGCAATATTTTGTACATTCTATATTGAATGACATTTTTAAAAAGAATTTTTTAAATATTATTTTAATCATGATTTGTAAAAAGGCATTTAATTTTTAAAATTTTCTCAATTATATTATCACGTCTTATCTTAATAAAAAAATTTATACTTCTTGTATTTTTTTATAAATATTAAATTAAAAAATGATATGAAAAATAACAAATAAACTTAATTTACTAGATACTATATATAAATAAGATTATATATATAATAATATTTTTATATTTATAAAAATTTTTTAGAAATTTCAATATAAAAATATTAAATAAACAATACAATTAAAAAGATAAAAAAATAAAAGTTATTTAAATAAGTAATAAAAAAAATAATTAATAGAATATTGACATTTAATCAAGAATTAAATAGTAATTAAAAAAAAATGTCAAGCAATCAAAATCTTTGTTTTAATTAAATATTGATTTTTATGAAATTTTGTTAGAATTTTGATCAAATTAATAATTAATAAAAATCAAAAATTAAGAATTAAAAAATAATTAATTTTAATCAAATAAATCGTTTTTTTTTATTTTTCATTAATTTCTTACAAATTCTAAATATATAATTAAAAATATTTGGTCATTTGTATAAATTAATAAAATAGATAAATTTCATATAATTGCAAACATACCATAGGGAAAATTTTTGTTACAATAAAAATACAAGAATTGACAACAAAGTAATTGAAACCACCGCCAATTCCTCGAGCTCTTTGCGGAAGCAATTCCGCAACCATTAATCCTGGAAGTGCCATCAATCCCACAGTATTAGTTGCCACGTATAATAATAAAAGTATACCAACAATGTATATCTAAAACATACAAATGTAATAAATTAAAATGTGCTTAAAAATAAAAAAAAAATTTCTTACAATAAAGTTTATTATTATTATAATTTACAAATATTAATTATTATAATTATTATAATTTAAAAATATATTAAATTAGATAAACTTAGATTTAAAGCTATACTGATAATTTTTAACATATATCACTTAAAAAAAAATAAAATTGCAATTTTTATAAAATAATAAATACCGTAATCTTTATTACTTAAGATTGTCAAATATAAATCGCATCCAATAGAAATTTTATTCCAATATTTTGTTTTTTGTCATGTTTTTAAAATTTTAAAAAAAATAATAGATAATTATTAGAATTAAATTATATTCAATTTTATCTAAATGTTTTGCTAGTATTATCTTCGGGGAATTAGATATTAGATGACACAAATATAAAATATATAAAGTATATATTGAGATAAAATTTCTATTAGATACATCTTATATCCGAAAGTTCTAAATAATAACATATTTTTGGACTATGACAACTATATTAATATAATAATATAAACTCAATTTTTATTAAATGATAAATAAAAAAAGAATTTATCTCTATTAAAAAGGGATTTTTTTGATAAAACCATTATTTTATGCTTTTCATTTTATTAATAATTAGAATTAGAATTAATTAGAATTTACTGTTTTTTTTTTAATACCATAAAAACAAAATGAGAATCATTAAAATAATAACAATACTTTAATAAAGTTAATAAAACGAGTACAATTTATCTATTATTAAATAATTATCTATTATTACATAAATATATAGATAGATATATAAGATATTAAAATATTCTTGAAAGATTCATAAAACAAACATAAAATTTCAATTCAAAACTTATTTATTAAATTATAAAATTTAATTTAAATTTATATTAGATAGAACAAGATATAAAAAGAAAAAGAGACGGCTTATTCCTTTTTTTCACTTCACTTTGTCTAATATAAAATAATTATTAATAATAATACATTTAATTTTTAATTTAATAAATAAATCTCAATCGAAATTTTTTTATATCAATTTTTATGTTTTTTTTTTAAAGCTAATTAACTCTATAAAAATGCCTCACGAATGTATACATTCTATATATGTAAATAGATAAGATTAATATGTATTTATTTAATTATTTTATCGATTATTTTTAAAAATAAGACTTATATATATTATGTATTTATATATTTATATATCATGCATTTTATAATAGAATAACTTACATCTATAAAATCTTCTTTAATTGATATATATATTGCAAGAGCAAACGAAGCAAAGGCTGATCCTAAAGCGGAAAATATTCCAAGATATCTTCTGCTCACTCTTAACAATAAAAAACTTGCCAGTGTACTAAATACAAGCCTAATAATCGCTGTAATTACTGCTGCCAAATAACTGTTTATGTTGTCACCACCTGCATATATAATGGATAAAAAATAGATATAAGAAAAATTCATATAACGAGCAATATCTTTTTTAGTTCAAGTTAAAAAAAAATTAAAAAAAAAATAAATGATTCAAGATACATTATATATTCACAATCATATTATTATCAATTAAAATCATTAATAAATACTGATCTCACTTTGATCAAAATTACATAATTAATATTTTTTATATTTTTATATAAAAAAAATCAAATAAGAATTCAAATTTTTCTAAATTAATTATTAAATACCAATAAAAGATTATTGAATTATACGATTAAAGATAACAAAATATCAATTAAAAAATGATGTGATTTATCATTTATGAGGATATTACATTACACTTAAATTTTAAATGAATATTAATTATTTAAAAATTTTCATCGTCGCATATTCTACGATTGATTTAATATTTAATCGATTGAAGATTTAATTATCAATTGATTATTTATTAAATACTTCAGTTAATGGTTAATCATTAAAAAAACTAATTACAAATTATTACATTTTTGAATATAATGAAAATCAATTAAAAAGTTTGATTCATTAAAATTTTAATTAAAATTATTTATTTTATTATTTTTTAAAATATAATAAAACAATGTTAATTGTCAAAAAAAATAACAAAAATGTATTTCGATAGAAACATATTATACATTTATATATATATATATATATATATATATATTAAAATTTCTTACAAATTTGTAATATTAAAAAATAAATTATAAAATAAATAGAAAAAGTATTTTATCTATATTTTTACTTATAAAAGAATTACTTATGTCTGAATATTTATTTTGTTTTAATTAAAAAAATCAATAAAATAATTATATAATATTAATAATAATTAAATAATTAATTGCAATTAAATTTTTATAAATATTTTATATATGAAGATTTCTCTTACCTATACTTGTAACAAGATTTACTGCATAAAAAACCATGATAAATGTTCCACTTAATAATTGAAGAAAATTAAAAATATTAATTATGGTCAATGGTTTGAAAACACTTGGATCCAGAAGCGTGGAAATAATAGAAGACTTTTTTTCAAACAATGATGTATTCGCCATTCGGGCTGCATCTATTTTTGCTCGCGTTTCTAATATCTCCAATTCAGCTTCAACCTTTTATAAATATGAAATATGGTTTGTTAAAATCGATTTTTTCTTTTTTTTGCAAAAACTTTAGTTTTCAATAATGTAATTGATTAAATAATTATTATTAAATTACTTTTAAGTATATAATTTTATATAAATTATTATATTGGCATGTAATTTATATTATATAATTATAAAATAAAAAATTCAATAAAAAATTAATAATTTTTAATCAAAATTAAAACAATTATAAAAAAATACATTTTTGGCTTAAATAATTTTTTTTCAATTTTGAATATTTTTGACATCATTAAAAATACTTCATTTCATAATTTTGAGGATTATTTTCATCCTTTAGATATAAGCTATTAAGAGGATAAAAACATATTTTTATAAAATATTTTTATAAAAATTATTTTATATGTAAAATTCATTAAAATTTGTCTTAAATTATATTTAAATATTATATAATAGTTTATATGGTAAAGACAATTTTATGAAAAATTAATGAATAACAAATTGAATTTATAACAAAAACTACTCTTGCCTATTTTCAATTATAAAATTTACTATATAATTTTATGATATAATTAAATATAATTTTTTTTAAATATGTTTATTTAATAATTTTATTAGATTATAGATACTTATATTTTATTATATTGAATAATGAACATTTTGTTGAAATTTTAATTTATTGAAAAAAAATATATATATTTATATAAATAAATATATATATTTTAAAATATTTTTTTATTCTCTTGGAAAAAATAAAAAAAATTGAAGAGTCATTTTCAATATTTTTAATTACAAAGAACGATTAAAGCAATAAAAAATTTGTTTTAAAAGATTAATCATTTTATCATCATGATATTCAAATTTTTGATTAATGAATAATTTATATTCTTAAAATACAAACTATATAACTATATTTACACAATTTTACACTACATTTAAGTACAATAATATTTTTTTATTTATATAATTTTAATTCCCATGATATTATACATATAATTTGGATAAAATTCCAAAAAGATTCAATCTGATCATTATAAAATTTGGAAGTATAGAAGGAAAGAAGAATTCAAATATAAAATTTTAAATTCGAGTATTAATTTCTAAGATATAAAAAAATTTTCATTGCTATATTTTTAATTCTAATTCTAATTCTATATAAAAGTAACTAATGCAATCGTAGAAATTATCATTAAATATTTCATAATATTTATAGGATATAAAGTATTAGGTAAAATCTTTAATTGTTTTCATAAAAAATAGCAAATATATATAGATAAATATATATATATAGATAATAATTTCTTCATGGGAATTTTAAATTCCGAGTTAAATAAATTATAGAATTGTTTTCATTCAAAAATAACCCAAATAATAGCAATAATAGCAATTGCCACATTTGCATATCAAATGTTTTTATTTTGGCAATTTTTTTTTTTTTATTTCTACTCATATAGTATAATTAATAGTATTTAATAAGTCAAATTTCTTGAGAATGAGTGATCAGATTTTTGTTAGATTGTAAATAAAACATCTTATAGATGAGCTCGATATAATTATTATGTATTACACAATACCCTACAACGGCGATGATAAAGATTATTGTATTAATAATATTTGAATAGGCCATTTCAATGATTACTAATATCTATATACTTTTAATAATTTTTATATACTTTTAATATACAATAGCGAATGTTTTTTGAAAATACTTCAAAAAACTAATAAAAATTCGAAATCTTAGATTTAAGATTCTTTTCTCCTACTTAAATTTTCTACATAAATTTATTTGGTAATTAGGAACTACAATCAATAATGTTATTTGTAAATATTAGTTAATCTTAAAATAATGATAAAATAAATTGATATTACTTTTTAATAGAAATTGAAACATATAGATATATATTTTACAAACACATATTCTACCTGTTTCTCGTTATTTCCTCTCAACCATAGTAAAGCCTTTTTTGCTTTGTCGGGTTTCTTTCGTCTTATGAGCCATGCGGGACTCTCCGGAATCAGGAGCAACGCAATTAATGCTGTCGTAGGAATTATGATTCCGCAAAAAGCCACGATATCCCATGTGAAAGAAGCCCCTAAGACGTATATTATGAGAATTCCGAAACAATAAAAGGTTAAAGTACATCCTGTTAATAATCCACGGAGTTTCGGATCGGCCATTTCACCCAGAAAAACCTAAAGACAAATATCTAATATATATATTACAATAATGTGTATATATATTAAAATTATTATATTATATATATATTATATATATATTATATATATTATAATTAAATCTTAATTTATATCTTTATTTATATCTCTAAATCTATTATTTATTTAATGTGATTTGAATATTTAACATACATTAACATACATTAAAATATCATGGATAAAGCTAGTAAAAGCTATTTCTTGTTCTTATAATCTTAGAATTCTTATAATCCTTATAATTTTATCTCTTTGTGTAAAATTAATGAAATCAATTTATTCATTGTTCTAAAAAACTAAAAAAATGAAAGAAGTCAATTGAATTTCAATAGATAAAAGACCAAAAATAGTAAATAAAAAATAGTCATAACGATTTAAAAATATGACATCGAGTTATGTATAGAATCAATATATTAGTATCGATTAGATTAGTATCAATTCACATTATATGTATTTTTAATAAAAGTGTATTCATTTAATAACAAAAATATTAATACGTTTTCTTGTCTCGATAAAAATTTTATATTTGTTAATCATCATGTAATGATTGAATGCCATTTATGTATCGTGAATAAGATTGATATTGCTAGGTTATATTGTTAATTCTGCATTGATAATGAACAGGATATATCGCAAAAAATTAACAAAACTATAATTCAGGAATATTCACTTTATGATACATACGAAATAGAATAATGGAAAAATAAAAAAAAAAATTTGGATTTCAACATTTGTGAGTAAAATAAATGACAATTGAAAATATACTTTTGTGATGATATATGATGTGAATAGTTCATTGATTGTGTCAATAATGTTATTAACCAGACAATATACCTGTGAATATATCAATGCTGCATATCATATATGCTCTTCAAATATTATATTTATTAAATATAATAATATAATACAATAACTTTTATTTATATGAATATGATACATACATTCACGATACATGTAAAGGAAGGAAAAAATAAAATATTAAGATTTCTTACTTGAGCTGGTGCTGCCATTAGACCAACACCAAAACCTAATACAACTCTTCCTACTAAAAGACAGGGAATATTTGTAGAAAAACCTATGATGAACCATCCAACGGATAGCGGTACTGCTGAAAATTGTAAAGCACCACGTCTACCAATTCCATCTAATAATGGACCGGACATCAAAGACCCAATAGGTGTTGCTAAACTGTGAACTGATGCTGAAAGATAAATCATAAAAACATATATTTAAATATAATGACTTCAAAAAATATTAGCATATTGTTTAAAATACAATAATTTTTTAAAATTGGATTTAACAATTTGAGTTATTTTGAGAAATTAAAAAAATTAATTTATTATGATGTGAAAAAAATTTCGAAAAAATTACAATTTGTCATAATTCCAAAAATAATTCAAATTTATAGAAATTATATTTATAGGAAACTATCGGTAAAAAAAATATTCTTGCAAGAACAAGTATTTGCTATATTAATAATATAAAAACATATTTTGAATTATGTTATTCTTGCAGCAAGTTTACATATGTTCAAATTAAATAATAGATTAAAATTATATTTTGAAAATTTAATTTTAATATGTTATAATCCTTTTAATCTATTAAAATGTTTTTGTATATTCTAATACAAAAATATGAAAGCGTATTTATTTAATTAATATAAAAAAACGATTGTAATTAAAAAAAAATTTGCAATTTATACAAAATTAGTAATTTAAAAACAAAATGGTAATCAGGAAATGTATTTCCTAAAATTGAAAATATATTCATAAATTATTATATATAATTTATTTTATTAATATATTTTATATATAAAAAAATTTGCAATTTATACAAAATTAGTAATTTAAAAACAAAAAATGGTAATCAGGAAATGTAAGATTTCTTAAAATTGAAAATATATTCATAAATTATTGTATAAGAGCTAAGAGAGATTATACCATTTAAAAAAAAGACATATCTCAATAACAAGGTTATATCCTTGGTGATTACACTTGGTCTTGAATCTCATTGATAAATATTATCCAATCAGACAATATGTAGGTCAGTCGTGACACGCGACATAGTAGAAATAGTCAGACAGTCTGATAGTGCGTATTATATCAATCATAAAATATCCTTGAACTTGTAAGCTAGTTCTTGAACTTTTGTTTCTTGATGCATTTTCAAACGAAATTATTTAGAATTTCTTTAATAATAAATTTAACAAGATTCTAACTCATTAATCCTTAATAATTATTATTTTTAACTAACTATTTTTAAATTATTTCAGGTTTAAGTTTTAAAAAATGAAATAAAATAATGCATCTTTAACATTTCACATAGTATACTTTTTATTTGAATAAATAGTATACTGTAATAATAATATAGGAATAAAATTTGATTGCAATAAAATTTAAAAATAAAATAATAATAAAATTTGATCATATATCTAATAATATTAATAGTTATATTTTTTAGTTTATTATATAAATAATTTTATTATAATATTAATAATATTTAATTTATTATATAATATAATTAATATTTTATGATATTTTCATAATTTCATTAAACTTTTTTATTAAACAAAAAAAGTAGAACAAAATGGAACGAAAAATTATTTTTATTTATTTTTATTTATTTTATTTTATTTATCCATTATTTTTTGTTTTATTTATATTTATTTTATTTTCTTTATTTTCTTTTATTTTACAATTTATTTAAAAATTATAATATATAATATATAATTATAATATATAATAATATATAATATATAATATATAATTATATATAATTATAATTATAATATTTAATATATAAAAAAAATGTAAAAAAATAAATTATATAGAATATCAATAATTTTAATAAATTTATAGCATTTTTATAGTGAATATTTTTCTGTAATAGTTTCTTTTTCCTTTTTTTTTTTACGATTGAAATTTTATTTTCATGTATATTTTTATCAATAGATAAATAACAATTTCCAATTACAATAATAATCTATTAATTATTTATTATCGCTGAATAGACCAAAACATATTAGTTATTTTGGAAAATAGATATTTTAAGAATTGTTAACAGTTTTTTTTTCAATTTTATTCGCTTTATTGGCTCATAGAGAACGAAAGAAAAAAATGTTTCTTAAATTGCATCTCTCTTGCGTCAGCATTTATTAATCAACAAAACTGTTTCTATTAAGAAATAGATTTGCGCATTGTCTTATGTGTATAGTTTGAAAATTCAAACGGTAAAATATTAACTGATGTCGATAAATATAAAAAAAAATAATAATACTAAATATGTGTGATCGACAATAGAAAAAAAAGGTAAATGAAAAAGTTTGAATAAATAATGGAGTGGTACGTATTCTTCGTTGTTACAAATATTAAATCAAAATGCTTTTTTATGGGAATTATTTTTCTATTTAAATTTGCATCACTTAATTTTTTATCTCATTAAAATTAATAAATGCTTAAAATTAATAAATTCAAGGTTTAATATTTTAAAAAAAAATTCTTAATCTATCGTTGCATTTATGTACATTCAAGATTATATAAATAAATATTAATATAATGTAAAATTAAATTTTAAATTCAAAATTAAATTTTCCGTAATTGACTATTTTCTTATATTTCTTATATAATTGAGTTGAATATTTGCTATATGCCGGTAAAATAATAACTTATGTACTATAAATATTGATAAATTCAATTGAATAAATTATTATATTATTATTAAATTATTATATTATTATAGCAGTATATATAATATAATAATATAATATAATAATAATATAATATATATAGCAAATATCAACTGAATGAGAAACGTGGTTTTATGAATGAGATAAAAAAAAAGTATTTAGTGTTTTGTTTTACGATATGATTTTAAGTTTCTAGAGATATGTACATTCCTAAAAAATCGAAATTCTAATTTCAAAAATTAGTAAGGATTTTGCGACAAAAAATCGGATACTATTATATATTAATTCTTTGAATGTCATTAATTAGATAATTTTGTAATTATCTAATTAATTATATTATTTTTATCTATTTATTTATATTCTTATAATTATAACAAAATTTATAAATAAATAAAAATATTATCATTTAATTAGCATATTTAGTATTTTTTATAATCTTCGAAAAACGAAAATATAAACATTTCTTTATACATATATGACATATTCATAAGACATTAGCACAATGAATATAATCACTACATTTAAAATTATTTTAAAATTATTTCTTGTATTTTTCGTATTATTTTTTGTGAATTTATATATTTCGGTAAAGAAATATTAATATTACGTTTAACATTAATATTTTTTTATAGATATTTTTTTATAGATTGTTAATAAGTATAACATTTTAGATTAAATAATTTCTTCTAAATTATATCATCCTTCTTTATATTGAATTGGTTTTTATATATTTTATGCTAAGACAAAAACAAAATATTTTTTAAAAAACTTTAAAAATTATATCATTCTATGTACTTAAAACATTTTTTAATGATTTAAGTCATCATAAATTAGATATAAATCATTTAAAAATTATAAAGATATATCATTTAAAAATTATAAGCTTCTAATATCATAAAAACTGATACAGTAATATTTCTTTATCGCATATTATTACATTTTACATCATTAGCATTAGATTAATTTTTATCGACAGTATGTGACTTTTTTGATCATAAAATTTATAGTTGGAATTTAAAAGTAATTTTAAAAAACAGTATTTTGAAAATTAATATATTTAAAAAAACAATATTTTGAAAATTATATTATGGAAAAATTTCTCTTATAATGTACAACCAATAATTGCGTTATAAATTGTTAATAGAAAATTTTAATAAAAATTTAAAGAAAAACAAATTAAGTATAAATATAAAAAAATATAAACTCTGGTTAATAAGACTATTATTGAATTACCAAATTAATTTATAATATTTGATTTATTACATTCGATTATAAATAAATCAATTTAATTATCATTAAAGATAAAAATTTTTATTTTACAAACTTTTAATCTTATTTTAAAAAAATCAAGTTTAGTAAATGATTTTGACTCTTTAACTTCACGTACCTATCCATGATCCAAGTTCCTGATCAGCGTGCATTGTGCCATTTTCTTCAGCCAATTGTGGTAATAATGTAGCACTGTAACCAATTGGCATTCCTCCAGCGGCTGCTACTAATAGAACTGCACCAGCTAATAAACACTAAAATATAATACTTGAAAAAATGATTTTCTAAATAATTTTTTAAAAATTTGTATACAATAATTAAAGAAGAATAAAAAAGTCTATTTTTAAACAAATTATGAATCGATTTTTTTAAGGTATTTTAAGGTATTTTAAGAACGTATTTTAACATTCTTTATCTATATATAAGTTTATAATATATATATATATATATAATGTATATTATGTGTTTATATATATATATATATTATAAACTTATATATGTATAAATAATTTGTATTTTATCTATAAAATATCTTTATACATATACATCTTTAAATATAAAATGTATTACTAAATATAACAATGTATCACTTATTTTTCAAAAGAAAAAAAATTAAATAAATATTTCTAATAATTATATAATAATAATATAGTTTTCAAATAATTTAAAAGCAAAAGAATTATTATATTAAAAATAGTTTTTTTTCTAGTTTTTCTCTGTTCTATTTATATATTCTTTTTATTTGTATATTTTGCATATTTTTAGATAGTATTCATAATTCTATGTATTTTATGTAATTTTCTTACCTGTGCAAATATTCCTTTTGAATTCGATGAATAATGTATTACATTATCTTTATCGTTAAAAATTTTGTCTTTATCTTGAGTATTATTATTTTCTATATCTTCACAAACATTTTTAACTTCGTTTACTTTTGTATAATCGACTGTAGAATGTTCCAATATTGAACAACATTCTTCACTAATAAAACAAAAAAATAAAAATCTTATTTTAATTGTTTAAATAATAATATAGGAGAAATTTAACTTTAATTAAATTAAATTATGTTAAATTAATTAAATTATATTAAATTAATTAAATTATATTAAATTAATTAAATTATGTTAAATTACTAGATAAATTAATTAAATTAATTTATTAATTAATTAAACTTAATTAATTAATTAAATTGAAAACTACAATAATTTTTATTATATTAATATTACATTACATTAATATTAATTTATTACATTATTAATTAATATAATATGTAATATTATATTATAGTTATTTTAAAATTTTTGTCTCTAAATTTATTGTCTCTAATTTATTTCTAAATTTTGTAATTTTAAATTAATAAAATTAATGAAAATATAATATATTTAATTTTTATAGATATTATATATGATTTTTTAGATATTTTTATAGCAAAGCGGAATAAACAAAAGTGTAATTTTACAAAAATTATCGAATTATAAAGATTAAAAATATTCGAGTAAGTTTCATTTAGAATATCTAAATTTAAAGTATCTAACTTATAAAAATTAGATATTTTAAATTTATAAAAAAGAAAATTTATTAAAATTGTTAAAGTTAAGTTAATCAAAAAAATATCAAAAAAATTGCAAATTAAGAATTTTATTACAGAAATTTTATCTACACCTTTTCATTTTTATAAAAAAGTTAAATACAAAATTTCTAAATTTTTATCAATTTTTTATCGAATTAAACATAAATCGTTATAAATAAATACAATTTTTGAATTCTAATTTTGATATAAATAACAATGTTATAAAGTTAAAAATAAATGTATCATTTTAAAAAGTCAAAATAATTAATCTTCACATTTTTAAAAAAAAATATTTTTTTTTAAATTTAAAAATTGCAAATTGTAGCTGATTGAAAATTGACTAATTTTTATTACAAATCTTTTTTTTTTTTTTAGATTGAAGAAAGTATCTAAGAAATCATGCGTTACGTTAAATATTGTAAAAAGATTTCAAATTCAAATCCAAAGAACTTTAATTATTTTTTTCTATTGTTTATATATCACAAATTTTCTAACTATTTTCTATTCTATAAAATAGAAATGCTAAATCATACATAATCCACCAATCAATATCGTTCTATACAATTCAAGTTGAGCAGACAAGCAGTTTGATTTAATCAAATGAAAATTTATTAACTGTGGATTCTTAACAATTAAGATTTTTATGTATCTTATATGATTTGATTTTTATGATTTTACACTCAATTTAATTGAAATTAATTTTAGTTTACATAAAAGGTTTTATTAACAGATTTATAAGTCATTTAAACGAATAATGCAATATTTCGTAAAGAAAAAAATTTATGAAAAAAATGATGTTCAGTTAATTACATTAACTATAGTAAACTATAGTAAACATAAACACACATATCTATAATTACATACATCGATACGATTTTAATTGTATTAATTTATAGTTTTATTTACGAATATAACGAATCATTGAATTCATTTCAACTAACTACAATGCTATGGAAAAAATATAATCATTTAAAAAAATTATTTTGATTTTAAATCTCCCGTATTATTTCATCTATATATAAAATCATTTATATCACATAATATCCCTTTATATTAAATAATTTTTGTAAAAACATTTTTTTAATAAATTCATTTTGATTAATTTGAAATACACTTGAAATATAATTAATATAATACAAGGTAAAGTAATTTAATTAGTATATATCTTATCGAATTATTAAAAATAATACTTTTTATGAAAAATTTTATTTTCAATTTTTTTTATGAAAATATATTAACAATAATTATTAACATACCTTGGTATTGGTGATGTCATATTGAATCCAGTTTAAGGAATCTTAATCTGTTTAATATCACTTTAAAAATTCACTTCACTATTTTAATCATAATTTTTTTGACAACATTTATTATTTCTTTACATTTTATTATTTCTGGTTTATAGTTTTTTCATCACATTTCCATCACACTTATCTTGTCATAAAATATTACTTAAATAAATATGTTCAATAAAAATTATTAAAACACTAAAGTCTTATTTACCATTCTAACTTACTTAAAATATAATCTTCCGATAGTAGATGCACATAGAGATTCTACGTCACGTCTGCATGAAAATAACGAGTTCTGAGAATTGGCTCTTTAATAAAAAGAAAAAAATAATAAGCTTAAATAAAGAAGAAAAAAAGATAGATGATAATAGATTGTTAATATCTAATATCAATGCTGAAGAATTCCATGAAGATGCATCTATTACGAAAGCAAAAATTCATTTATTATCATGATATTAATAAATAAACAAAACATATTTACGAAAATATTCATCACATATATTTAAATAATTCAATTTGTTATTTAATATTTTACGATCGATTTTAATTTAATTCGATTTTAATTCTCATAAATCAATTAATTCTATTATTACTCGAAATTGAAATTTCTAATCTTTTATAAGTAATGATTTTAGAACAAGATATAATTAATTAAAGTTTTAATTTTCAAGAAAATTTTTTTTTTAAGTCAGGAAATATTTAATATTCTTTTTTCTATAGCAATTTAATGCGTTTCAAAAAAAGGTAAAAATAATTTTTCATTATAGAAAATTGCAATTATAATTTTTAATGATATAATAATTATAAATGAATATCACGTAGAATAATTTTTTCATTTCATTTTTATGAATTTAATATATATCTACACAATAAATTTATAGTATAAATAATTTTTATAAAAATTAAGCATTTTTTTTTAATTTGATTTTATTTATTGATAAAAAAAACAAAATATCATTTTTTGTTATAAATTTATCTTTATAGAAAAATATATATATATTTTTAATTGTAATTAAATTAGCGTGTAATTAAATATAATTAAATTATATAAATTATTATAAATTAAATTATATATATTATATAATTAAATTAGATTTTGTATAAATAAAATAAATTAGATATTTTATTGCATTGCAACTTGATAATATATTCCTTAATCTAACTATTATTTTATCTACTATTATTATTAGAATCTATTAGAATCAAAATTATACTATTTTTTAAATATATGATTATAATATAATTTACTTATAAAATATAATTAAATAAAATTTTTTAAAAAATGAGCATTCATGATGACAATTATAATTTCATTTGTAATATATGAAACGTTTCATCATATTATGAATGAAGTTTGAAGAAAAAGATAATTCTAATTTTATTAAGAAAAAGAATTATAATTATTTTAACAATAATAAGCACAATAATTAAAATAAATAATAATACTCAAAATAATATTTATTTTATATTGTCAATTATAAATTAAACAAAAATATATATTAGTCAAAAGATTATTTAATAAATTATAAAAATATAAAACATTGTATTCTTCGTATTATTGTTTTTAATAATTGTTCTTATTCAAAAATTTTCTAAATATATATTTATTAAATTTAATTTGATGCAAATACAAACATAATATATATTTTTCCTACGTTTAACCTAATCTATATAATAATTTAAAAACAAAATTATATCAAGTGCATAAATCTATGATGTATATATGTATATATATATTAAATATAATATGATGAGACTAAGCTTATGAATTATGAAATATGAACAATTGCAGAAGATATTATATAATTAAATTTTAAATATATTTGAAAAATTTAATAATTACGACAGATAATAATATATATAATAAAAATTATATAATTAATCAAAAATACTATGAAACGAATGATACATGTAAGTACATATTTTCATTCTGAATCCTTTTTTTCTCTGGATTTTTCTTTCACTGTCCTTTTCTACATGCAATCCAAGCAAAATTCTAAATTCTAATCAAGTTTTTGAATTCTGATTGATTGAAATTATTACATCGATTTCATTATTTTATAATATAATGAACTTTTACTTTAGTCTAATACTAAAACAAAATAACTGACCCAAAAAGTATTTGTCGATAAGTATTTAATCGATAAGTCAAAGTGAAAAAATCTCTTTTGCAGATTTTTGAAGAATTTTTTATAGAAAGCGAATTTTTATCATGAAAATCAAAAGAATTGACAGATCCGTGACTCTCGGTGATCGTTCATTTATTTTCGATAATGAACTTATTATTGTTAACTAATTTTAAGAAATAAAGTAAAAAATTCTATTTATAATATCTATAATAAGTAATTTGTCACTTTTTTTATTAGGTTTTATCAGGTTATCATATTAATTTCATTAATATATTGGTGAAAATTTCATTAATATATTGATGAAATTATTATAAAAATTATAATATTATTATAAAACTTAGTTATGAGTGATCAGATTTGTTATTTTCTATTTTCCATTCAGTCTGATAAGATAACATATCTTAATAATAAATCGAATAATTTTATATGAAAAAATAAATCAAAATAAAATTTTTTTATTCGAAATTTCATTTTGAGTAAAAGTTAGAAAAATGTTCAAATAAAATTTAATTAAATATGAATAAACTATCGATAACTGATTATTCTACATGTGAAAAAGAAATAAAATATAAAATAAATTTTATCGCTTATTCTTTGTTTTTGAAATTGAAAATATATAGTTAAGAACTCATGTAATCGGCGTGTAATTCAATTTTTTCAAAAACTAATTTTTAAATGAAAAAAGTTATTTTTAAAAATCTCATTTTTTGTTTATTTTTACACATAGAATAATTATTTATCGATGATTTATTTATATCTAATCGGAAAATAATAAATTTTAGTTATATCTGAAAAATTTTTTTTAGATTATCTTTATTCTCTCTTTCTTTATCCTCTGTTTCTTTTTTACGTTGCTGATATAATAGTAGCAAATACTTAGAAAAGAGACCATATGTCCGCTAAATGTTATGTAGCAGTTTGAACTTTTATATACTTTCATACTTAATATTAGATTTCAAGAAATGAATTCCATTCCAAGAAATTAATCAATAATACAGCTCTTACCACAATGAATTTGCGAAATTCATTGTCAGACCTTTATTTGTATATCATTTATCATTAATGTCAAGTTATCAATGTCAAGCTAATAAATAATTATTCCAGCGATTGTATGCGAATCTACATTCAGTTTAATATTTCAACTTGAACTACAATCTATAGCTATATACATATAATATGTTTCCCGAGACTATATCCTAGACCAAGTTTGGATAACTTTTTCTTTATTTTATTTATCTACTACTATCAATATTTATTTTTTTCATTATTAATTATTCTATATTTCTCTATGTTTTATCTCACTGTAATTGTGAATATACATATATTATTATAATATTGCAATACATATTTTTACTTATTTAAATATTATTCCAATTTTTGAAAACGGAATTTCAAAGTAAAATTTTTGAATGAAAGTTAAATCGAAACCAATGTTTCGATATCAATGCATTATGGTTATCGATATCTCACTCAAGAAAAGAAAATTTATCTTCTTTTCTTCAGTTTCAATTGAATTCTTAGAAATTATCTTTATATTTATTAAGCTTAACGACTGCAGATAATATCCATAATTTGATATATGCCGAAATAATTAATGATTGGTATTAAGTTTCATTCATCACGCTCAAAACTCACTTCAAGTTTCATTTCCAAAATTTGGTGAAAATAGGGAAAAACGTTTAAAGCAAAGCAAAAATGCAAACGCTTAAACAAGCAAGCCTCTATAGATTTCTAACCTCCCCTTTATTCTTTTTCTACATTCCAAGAAGTATGGTGAAGGGAACTTAGGAGTGAGGAGAGGAGTCGCATTCGATTCGCGAGCCATCAGTTGCCAGAATTGTCCTAGACTTTACGTGACTTAAGAATACATTGATAAAAATGTAATTATCCTTTATATTCATTAAATTTATATATTTTTTCTTTATCCTATATATATATTCTATATCCCATCTCATAATATAATTTTTAAAAATTGATATAGTTTAAATATTACGTAAAATGTAAAAACTATAACTATGAATTTTTTTGTTAAACAAGATACGAATTTAAAATTTGTCTGTCACGTATAAAATATGAATGTTGCATAAAATTTATACATTTAATGAATATTCGAATTCATATGCAAGTAATTATAAACTCATGAATTATAAATGGTTTTATTTATTAAATTATTTTTTTTTTGTTTTCATTTATAATATTTTTATTATATAAGAAATGTAAATTTCTAATGTATAGAATATGTCTAAAATATCTATTTAAATTATTTATATCTAAGATATTTATTTAAAATGTTTTATTTAAAATCAAGCTAATTACAATTAACAATTTTTATTTCATATTTATCCTATATTTTTAGTAATAACAAATGAAATATATTTGTATTAGAAAGAAAAAAAATTATTTTTAACTTACTATTAACAATTCACAATCACAAATATAAGGATAAATTTTTCATAAATACGATTTTCTTTTTTTAATAAAACACTTTGCTCGTGTATGATATACATAAATTTTTTAAATTTATTTTTAGAAAATAACAATTATTTTAGAAAATTTTCGCTTTGACACTCACGTATCCATCACTGGAATTTTCACTTTTATATTTTTACTATTTTCTCTCTGATAAACTTTGTATTATTTACAACGAAATTTAATGAATCAATTATGAAACAAAATTAAGTGATTTTTAATCGCAAATAAAACAGGAAAAATTAATTTTCTCAAAGATTAAATTCGAAGGTTTACATTGAAGAAAGAATCACTCAAGTTTGATGAAAATGTTTGCAGAAAATGGCAAGCGGTTCGTTAGGTAACTAGTCGGGACTAGTCGCCTTGGCTCACGATGGCTCAACTGAATGAAACATTCGACCGTCCACGCTCTTATAAATTGCTCACTTCGATTAAGTCCCTTTCTCAACGTTCGTCGTGGACGTACTGGATAATATTATATATGATCTATGATCTTTAACTGGATTACCTTCAACGATACCGGAAGCCCAGTTTAAACGAAAATCAGCGGGATTTGTGGAGATCTATAATTTTAAAGGAACAAATCTGGACGCATTTGAAATAATATTATTTGAAATATCAATTCAAATAACTTGTAAATGCTTGCAATAATTTAATTTTAGTATTTAACTTCTTGTCTTACAATTTAATCGAAAGATATTGGATCAAAAAATACTACTTAACTAACTATAAATTAACTATAAACTTAACTAAACAATTTAACTTCGATCAAAGCTTCAAATTATAAAATAACAAAAATTCAGAATCGTCGATATTTTTTGTAAAACATAATAATAATTTATAATAATTTAAAAATTATGAAAAAAATTTATAAAAAATTTTTTAAAATTTGTAAATTTTATGATAAAAACCTATTATATGATAAAAACCTATAATGTTATAAGAAATTTTAGTTAAATTAACTTATAGACAAAATAAATTTAAGACGTAGATAAATATTAAATAAATGGAATGATAATGAATTTACATAATGAGTTTACACTATTAGAAAATTTTAATTTAATATTTTTTGAAAATAATTTAAATAAATTTAAATTCAAATTAAAAAAAATTAAATTTACATTTATTTTATACATACATAGGAAGATTAGTAATTAATTATAGAAATTAATAAATTAATTATATTGTTCCATTTTAAACAACTTTTTCTATACATACAATAATAATATTCTATATCTTATAAATATAATATATGAATAGTATAGAGTACGAATACAATATGATAAAAATAGTCGAATATTATAGTTATATTATTACACGTTATTATAGATATGCTTTACTTTTTTTTAGGATACAAAATAATAGTTTTTTACCAATATATTAATGGATCAATAATTATACACTATCATTAGCAATTATTCTTATGTATTTAGAATTTTCTAATATAAAAAACTATAAACTTTTTAATAATACTTGTAATATTTTTGATGATAATATCTTTTTATTTATAATAATTAAAATATTATATATGTATATTAATTAATAAATTAATATCATATATATGACTTATTATTCATATTCATTTTTCATTCATACTGTTATTCATTTGTTAATCAAAATTGTAATGAGAATAAATATACAAATATACAATAAAATTATTTTAATTTTTGAAATTTAATAATTTAAATAATAAATATAATAATATATAAATCATTTTAAAAAATTTATAAAACGATGTAATATTAATTGATTTGACAAAAAGATATTCAAAAAATATCTACATAATCTATAATAATCTATAAAATAATATCGATTATAATCCCTATTTAATTACAATATGAACAAATCATTAAATATATTTTAATTTGAAATAATATTAAATCCTTTTTGTAACTTCTATGTTTATCGAATTAATAAGATATATATATCTATTAAAAGTAATCTTTTTTTTCTAGTTTTTATATTTATTGTATTTTAATAGATATAAATATTAATAAAAGAACTGATTTTAATTTTATCTAACCAAAATATTTTTATAATTTTTGTTAAATTTACAAATTAATTATCAAAATTAATATTAAAAATTTATAATAAATTCCTTATTTTTTCGAAAATACGAAACTTTGTATATTTTTAATTTGAATTTTTATAAGTCATAACATATATATTAAAACTGACAATTAATTTTTTTATTAGCAATTTATGCTAATTTATTTATGTTAAATATTTATTAATTTAAAAAATTTTTTTCAATTTTAAAAATTGATTTAAAAGAGAATATCAAATTTTATATTAATACTAATTTTAAATATTACTACTATTTAAAATAGAGAAAATATAAATTATTAAAGATAATCAGAATGAGAGTATTTATGTACTTATAAAAGATAATATATTTTTAGACAAAAATATTTTTATGTATCAATTGATGCACCATTTTATTGTTTTTAAAATGTATTAAGATACATAAATTGAAAATTAAATTAAACTTAGTTTAGTAATTATTTATAAATTTAAATTATTCTTATATTATATCATATTATAAATATTGATAGTAAATGTTAAAGAAAATATCATTATATAATATTTTTTTTATTTTTTAATTTATATTTTTAACAAATCATATATGTAATCATATTTGTTCTATTTATACAGATCTAGATTATATTAGAATAAAATATTAATAAAAAACAAATTTTTATATAATTTTATTATGTCATAAGTTGTTACTGTAAAATTTTTCTATAGTTGTTTTTATACTATATACAAAATATTTTTAAGTTTAATCGAGCATTTAAATTATTTTCTCTAGTATTAGAAGTGAAAAGAAAAGACTAGATAATATTTAAATTAGTTTTGAAATTAGTATATTTGATAAAAAATATTTAGTAAAAAATCATTTTAACAATTTTTTTAAGATGATTTTAATCTTTTTTTTTGCAAATTAATGTTCATTTTTTTACAATATGATATTATAGCTTATCAAAATAAGTTTAATAACTTATATGTCTTAATCTTAAAATGACTTTGAAAATGAATAAATAAATTTCATTATTCAAATATTCAAAATCGATCATTAATGATCTTCAAAATTCTCGTATAATATAGATCAATGAATGAAAACATTGATATTTATCACTTTATTTTATCACTATATTTTTATAATAAATCTCTTCTTTTAAAATTTGAATATTGTTGATAATTACTTGATAAGTATTTTAAAATATATATTAATTATTATATAAATATTATATATATAAATACATATATTACAATTCTTGAAGATCTGCTATAATCAAAAATTATTTATAAAGAGGCTCAAGAAAAGATTATGAATCGTTTATAATATTTGCGCCATATAGTAACATGCGCACATATACTATAATACTAAATAAATTTTATATCACAGAAACGCTTTGTTTATTAGCGATTTGCTAACAATTTTCTAGTTCAGTAGAGTTCTATATCATAGAGTGTCAATGACTTCATTGTGCCAATTATAGGGTTGAGGCCACGCGACGCTATGTTAACGAAAAAATGCGAAATATGTAACGGATAAAGAGCGCGAGTCATCGACCGTTGTCGATAAACAGTAAACGTAGAAATGTCAAATAGAAATGTGAAAGACAAAGTAAATAAAAAAAAGAATGAAAGAAATGCTGAATAAGATATGTACAAAGCATGAAAAATTGGTATAGAAAGAGATAGATTACGAATTTTGAAGGCAAACAAAACGGATACAATTTTATAATCGAATAATTTCTTTTATTTAAAACAATTTTTATTATTTCAACAATTTCTGTTCAATATAATTCTATTATAATAACATTTTGAATATCTGATAAAATAAAGTGAAATATTACTCTTCTTGTTATTAGTTTTATATCAACAAATAAGTAATCTTCGTTTCAAGATTACTTAAAGGTATATTGATTGTTGAATTCGTCTTATATTGCTGGCTATAACATCATGTTATGCTGAAAAATAATTTTAATTTAAAAAAAAAAAAAAAATACGATAATCATGTGTTAAAAAAACTGTTAAAATAAATTCATCGATTTTTATTTTTCATCATCTAATATGCCTATCGAAATTATTATATTAATTTATATTATATTAATTATTTATTTATTCTTAAATACTTAGTTATTTGCTTTTACTCTACTAATAATTACTTTAATTAATAATAATTACTTTACTCTTCTAATGAAAATAATTTAGATGCTTAATTTAAAATTGACATTCTATATAATATATTATATTATAATATATATATTATNAAAAAAATGTTATATAATATATCATTTTTTTCATTATATAAGTTATATGTTATTTTTTAGTAATCAATAAAAATTAAAAACAATATTGTATCTCGATATGATAATATATTGAAGAAGTACTAAATATGATAATATTGTTTATCATATAATAATAATATCATTATAATGTTAAGAATTTTTTTATATTTTTTTCGCTAATCCAAAAAATAAATCTTCTATAATAATAAATATTCTCTTCTATAATACAATTACCATTCAGTATAAATTAATTAACGTTGAGATATTCCATTATAATCCTTGAGAAAATAATTTCGATTGGTTCATTCATTATATATTTTATGTAAACGTGATATTTATAAAACAATTGATATACACACAATTTTATATACATATAGAAAAAAGTTTTTCAAAATCTCATTTTTCTAATCAATTACCTATTTTATCAATTTTCTCTTAGATAAAGTATTATGTATAAGACAAAATTATATATCTTTATTAAATTTTATTATTATATTTTAAGTTATATAAAATTTTGTTTTTTATACTTTTAATAAGTTATATAATTTTTTGTATAATATATATATATATAAAATAATATATTTATATAATATTTGTAAAATAATATTTGTAAAATATATAATGTAAATGTGTTTCCTTAAAGATTTTTTAATGGTTCTTTTCTTTTTTGTAATGCACATATATGTAAATATATAATAGTCGATATTGACAACTAAAATTATATGTATGAAGAAACAATAAATGGTATCGACTGTTGGTATCGATTATATAATAGGAATATTCATTATTTTTCAACTAAAAATATATATTATTAGCAATGATATATAATTTGCTAAAATATATATAAAAAGAATTATATATATAATATATTTCTTATTATATAAGAAGATTGGAGGGAGTTATAAATTGTGTTATATAACATGTCAGTGGATTGAAACAGAAACCAGATTATGAAACATTTGTTATTGAACTTCAGTCTATGTGAAACTCCCGAAGAAAAGACATTACTATTCTATTCATTTCATTTTTATATATTATTATTCTTTTTTAAATGGAGTGG